CAGCCCTGCAGCTTTCTGTCCCAGCCGCCAGCGCTCTGCCCTATTGCACGTTCTCCCAGAGAGGCCCTCCTGGGCCAGGGTCTCTGCACATCTGTGCAGCCTCCTCCTCACTTCTGGGCCCAGTGGACTTGCACACAGGGGCCAGGATGTCTGTAAGATCCAGTCTCTTCTGGTGTGGTGGCTGCCTATAATCCCAGAACTTTGGGAGCCTGTGGCAGGAGGATTGCTTGAACCCAGGAGTTTGCAACCAGCCTGGGCAGCATAGAAAAAAAAAAAAAAAAAAAACATTTTAAAACTAGCTTGTTGATGTGGTGTGGGCCTGTAATAATCCCAGCTACTTGGGAGGCTGAGGTGGGAAGATCACCTGAGCCCCAGGGGTCGAGACCACAGTGAGTCCTGGTTGTGCCACTGCACTCCAGCCTGGCAATACAGTGAGACCCTATCTCTATCTCTCTCTTTTTTTTTGTTTTTGTTTTTGTTTTTGTTTTTGTGAGACAGAGTTTCACTGTGTCGCCCAGGCTGGAGTGCAGTGGCGTGATCTCAGCTCACTGCAACCTCCACCTCCCAGGCTCGAGTGATTCTCCTATCTCAGCCTCCAGAGTAGCTGGGATTACAAGCACAAGCCACCATGCCTGGCTAGCTTTTGTGTGTTTAGTAGAGACCGGGTTTTGCCATGTTGGCCAGGCTTGTCTTGAACTCCTGACTTCAGGTGCTCCGCCTGCCTCGGCCTCCCAATGTCCTGAGAATACAGGTATGAGCCACTGTGCCCAGCCGAGACCCTATCTCTTTTTTTGACCCTATCCCTTTTTTTTTTTTTTAGACAGAGTCTTGTTTTGTCACCAGGCTGGAGTGCAGTGGCACGATTTTGGCTCACTGCAACCCTCCGCCTCCCCGGGTCCAGTGATTCTTCTGCCTCAGCCTCCCAAGTAGCTGGGACTACAGGTGCGAGCCACCACACCCAGCTACTTTTTTTTTGTCGGGGGGAGGAGTTTCGCTCTTGTTGCCCAGGCTGGAGTAGCTGGGATTACAGGCATGCGCCACCATACCCGGCTAATTTTCTATTTTTAGTAGAGACAGGGTTTCTCCATGTTGGTCAGGCTGGTCTCGAACTCCCGACCTCAGGTGATCCGCCTGCCTCAGCCTGCCAAAGCATTAGGATTACAGGCATGAGCCACTGTGCCCAGTCCACCCAGCTAATTTTTGTATTTTTAGTGGAGGCGAGGTTTCATCATGTTGGCCAGGATGGTCTCAATCTCCTGACCTCGTGATCTGCTCGCCTCAGCCTCCCAAAGTGCTGGGATTACAGGTGTGAGCCACTGTGCCCAGCCCCCCATCTCTTTAAAAAGAAAAAAGAAAAGAAAGAAAGGAAAAGAAATCTGCTCTGCTCATCAACACCCACCTAGGTCGACTTCACACCCGGAGTTGAAGCTATAATCTCCCCAAGACACACATACTCACACCCAAGTGCACCCACCCAAACAACCACAGAAGCTACCCCAAGAGACCTGGGTCACAGCCACAGTTCACCCACAGAAGCACAGCCAAAGATTCACACCCTCTCCTGGAGTGTGTCCTACCAGTGGGTTTCAATCCTAGCTCTGGCTGTGGGACCTGGGCCCCTCCCCTTTGTGATCTGAAGCTCAGTCTCCCCAGCCTAGAATGGGGCTGCTTCCCCTCTCCCAGGCAGGGCAGCCCATGGCTCTGATTCCTCCCCCTCACAGTCCCCAGTCATTCCCTCTCCCTACCTGTCTCGGAGCTGGACACATTGAGCCCTGGCTGTCCTTGAGAGCCTCCTGGCCTGGGGGAGAGCACTGAGGGGCCCACACACATCAGGGACAGAGATGACAGCTGTTGGACCCTTTCTGCAACATAAACAGGGCAGTCTGTGCAGATACATCCCTGTCTACCACTGGAGGGGTTGGCAGAGAGCGGAAATGGCTTCTCCAGGGTGCCTAGCCCAGCCCACATTCCCCACACAACTTCCAGGCCCACATGCAGCCCTCCCAGCAGCTGGCCCAGGCTCCAGGAATGAGGTACAGCCACCCCAGGAGACCCAATCCCTTGCTGCCTGGGTGGCCTGAGTGCCCATGGGGTCCCACGGTGGGGCCTGGGTGTGATCCAAAGAGCATGAGTTTTTGACACGTAACAACAAATTTAACAAGCTCTGCAGCCCCGGGGACTCAGTTTTCTCATTTTCAAATGGGGATACAGTGCACACTTAGCCCAGGCTTAACACTTCACATGCAAGGGAGCAATTATGAGACTCAGAGAGGTCGTGTGACTTGCCCAAGGTCACACAGCTAGTGAGAGGCAGAGCTGGGATCTTCTACCAGAATATGTGCATGCCCGCACGGGGAGCTGTGTGGTGTGCCCTCTCCCAGGCCACCCTGGCTGGTCCCTGGCTGCACTGGCTTTTGCCGGAGGAAAATCAGAGTTGGGCAGCTGCAGCCCAAGCTCAGGGCCCTGGGACTTGGGGCAGGCAGGTGGGCAGGGTGGTTCTGCTCTGCCCCTGCCGGGAAAGCCTGGACATCACCTGAGGCGGAGCCAAGTCAGGTAGGGGTGGGGTGAGGAGAGGGAGTGCTTTGGCTGCTGCGCAGCTGGACTGAACAGTCATCATCACCATCATGAGCTGGGAGAGCACTCTTGAGGCTGGGGTGGAGGCTATTATAATCCCATTATCCGCGGGAGAATACTGAGGCTCAGAGAAGGAGAAAGGGCCTTTCCCATGTCGGGGAGTCCAAGTCTGACCCCTCTGGGAGCCTGGAACAGTGTGGGAATTCAGGGAACCTCAAGTGGGTGGCAGTGCAAGATGGAGACCGTGGGTCCCCCTGATCCATGGCAGGCACCCATTTGCCCCCCATCCACTCCTTTGCATGCCCCGACTCGTGTCCAGTCTGCATGCCCCACTCTGAGACAGGCTGACAGACATGCCAGGGCCCTCCCAGCTCCTGTCCCCACACACTGCGTGCCCTCCGATGCTTCGCTTCCCTTCTCTGAGCCCCTTTCCAGGCAGATCTGTAGGGACTTTCTAGGTTCTCTGAGCATGTTTGTGTCGGCTGCTCCCTGCACAGAGGCACCTGGGTGAGAGGTCATGCCCCACTCTGCTACACCGTGCACTCTGGTGAGGCTGCATGTTGCCTGGAGGAGACACATCTTTCCTTAGCTGTCAAAAAGGTGCTGTGGGGGCCGGCGCAGCCCTGCGGAGGAGAGCCTGTGAGAACGCATGGGTGCAAGGGTTCACGCCGGGAGAGCACTGGTCCTCTTCTGTCCGACCCATGAGCTAGGGCTCCCATGCAGATGGCTGATAAGGAAACCTACAGAAGGGCTGCCCAGAAAACAGTCTTCTGCGTAGGAAAGGCAGTGACTGAGCCCCAGCTAGAGGGGCCCTGCCGGAGACCACCTGCTCCTAGGGTCTGTGTCCAGGGTGAACCACTGCCATCGTGCCCCCGCAGGCTCATGACAGACCCTCGGCCCAGGGCTGAGGCTGCTGCACCTTGCTCCCTTATTCTCCCAGGCGAAGAGCTGAACTGTGGAGGGTGGGGAGCTCCCAAGTAGACTTCAGGGACAAGTGCCCCCTGACCCCGGCCACCCTGCCTGCTACAGTGCCTGAGATTCCAAGACACTCCTCGTCTAAGGCTAAGGCATAGTCTACACAGCGCAGAGCCTTGCCTCTGCATTCCAGCCGGCTCTGCCTTTCACTGTGGGCCTGGGTGAGGTCCTTGTCCTCACTGAGCCTCTGTGTCTCTAACAGGGATATCGGGGGCCACCTGCAGAGAGAGGGTCTGGCAGGGGGTGTCTGGGAAAGGGTTTTGTAAACTACAGGTAAGGAGGCTATTACTAAGTTGCAGGCACCCCAGCGGGGTGAGGAGGAGTGGGCGGAGGAGGCTCTGGAGTGCTCTCTAACGCACAGGAGTCCGACTGTTGCCTCCTCCACACACACAGGCTGGTGCGGGATTGGGGGTGGGGTGGGGAAGGAGAAGGAGACAGCACTCCCAGGGGGGCTGCCTGGCGGGGAGCTGCCAGTGGTCGGGGCAGGGGTAAACCTTGGGTCTGCCATGGATAGTAAGGCTTTCTGCAAGTTCCTGCTTCTCCTGAGCCTCAGTTTCCCCCAGATAAATGACAGATAAGGGTCTGGGCCACCATGATTCCCTATTCCAGGGGATAGGCTCCTTGGGAGTAGGACAGGTCTGCCCAGGACCCAGGACCTGGCACTTGCCACATAGATGCAGCCTGTGGCCCTGTCGCAAGAACATTCCAAACCCAGAGTCCGACAGGTGACTCCACTGACACCCCACCCAATGACCACTTGTGGAGCCCGAGCCTGCAGATGCCTCCCATCCATGTGGAGTCCTGCCGTGTTCCCCATTGAGAGGCGGGCACTTGGGAACGGGCACTGCGGGACACACGCCTGTGTCGGAACCAGCCCTGTTGCCCTGGCGATGGCTCAAGTCCTAGGCACCCACAGGGGCTATTAGTGAGTGTGGGAGGGGGTTTCCATGGTGGCGGTCCCGAGGGGGCAGACACAGGGATCAGGGAGGGGCGAGGGCTGGCGGGACCTTTCTCCTTTGTCCGCGGCACACTAGGCCTTTGTTCTTGCCTGGGTCCCTTTGACAGATGTGACCAGGACCATGGGTGCGGGGAGGACTTGGGTTAGAGTCCCCCATCCCAGCGAGTTCTGAACCACCCTGGAGGGAGGGGAAGGAGGGCAGAAAAGGGGGTAGAACTCCTGGACTCGCCATCCACTGAGGCGCCCTCCTCCTGCAGGTGCAAAAGCCACTCCTGTCCCCAGACGCTAGGGCAGGGTAACTTTGAATTGGCTCTTACTTATGTAAACACCTTCCCCAGCTGCCAGTGGGCAGCCTCAGTGTGTCCCCAGGGCAGGACCAGGAGAGGCCAGGGCTGGGAAGGGCAGGTGAGGGAGGAGGGGAAGGGGCTGTCTGTCTGGGGTTGGGAGGAGGGCATTTGATCCAGCGCCATCCAAGGCTCTGAAGATCCGAAGATCCAAGTTCAAAAAGATTTTATTCCTGGAGCCCTCTGGGGTCCCTTCACCCAGCCAACCCCTTCCCTGACTCCTATGGTGCCGGCTTTGGTACTTGTGAGGGCCTGGGCACCAGGACGGTTCCATGAGTCCTCAGGTGCCCCACTCTGTGACCCTCCTCCATGCTAGTGTCTGACCCAGTATGTACCACAGAGGACCTCCTCCTCCCCCACCGCCTGGTCCTTGCCTGGAAGGAAGCCGAGTCCCAAGAGTAAAGTGCGGTGCCCATTTGCAGGGCTGGCATCAGCCATCAGGCAATTGAGACTGGGGAACACTGAGTCCATGGTCCTCTCAGAAGCGGGTGTCCAGGAAGGAGGTGGAGCCTCGTTGGGGCCTGGGAGGCCCCTCGATGGGGGGGCCCCGGGCCCGAGTCAGGAGCCCATGGAAAGTCTTGCCGCGGGTCTGGGGTTTCCGCCGTGGTGGTCTGGGCTCCTCTGGGGGCTGCACCACAATCCGGGGCACCTCAGGCTTGGCGCCTCGTCGTGCCCCTGCCAGCTGCTGGGCCTCGAAGATGGCTTGGGCCCCAGCGAGGCGGACCTGTGGCCGGGGCGGGGGCCCCGGCGCAGAATCGGGCAGCTGGGCCAGCTGGGCCTTGATCTCCCGCTGCAGGTCCCGCTCTGACAGCACCACGTTGTGCACCTGTGGGGAGCAGTTGGTACTGCGTTTGCCCGGCCTCAAGGCAGGAACAGGAAACTGAGGTCCCCAGCCCAGGAAGTGGCTGAGGACTGAGGGGCTGACAGACAGCCTCGCTGGGGAGCCACAGAAAGCCACTGGAAGCCTCGGGTTTTCGTGTTCTCTGAAGCTCAGGGGACAGGAACTAAGTCCCCGTTCTCGCTTTGGGTTCCTGCTCTGGGACTCAGTTTCCCCCATGCAGCAGGGGCTGGGCAAGTCCGAGGAGAGGCGGGGGCACCCACCTGTGACATGAAGGCCTCCTCCTGCAGCTGTGCGGGGGGGATGGCTCGAAGGGCTCCGAGTGTCTCCAGGAGGCCAGGGCAGGCCCCTCGTTGCTCTGCAGTGCCCAGCGCCAGGCGCACCAATGTCAGCCCCACACGGAACAGTACCTTGGCACCTGCAGGCCGGAGGCTCACTCACTGGGAGGCCGGCCCTGCCCCTCCACAGTTCTGCACCCAAACCTGCCCTCAGCCATGTGCCTGCCACTCTCCTGCAGCTCTGCCCCCCTAGTTCAGGTACAATGACAGAGGGTAGAGTTGCATTTTGGGCGACACAGCCCACTGCACTGGTCAAGTCAGCCTCAAGAGCCACAGATGCTTTGGGGAAGAGTTAGTATCTTGTGAATTTGGTTACTGTCACCTCCCATCCCCACCCCCGCCAGAATGAAGGTCTCAATCGCTTGATGCTCAGATGCCATCCACATCTGGAGCCAGCAAGTGCCTGTGGGCTCCAGGGAGGAGCACCTCCTACCCTCCCTGAGCCGGTCAGGCCTCTATGTGCTATGATCACCCAGCTCCTACCCCAGGCGGCATTCGGGTGACAGGTGATGTGCCACCAGGCACAGGACTATCACCTTCAGCACACCTGGTCCTATGACTCGAGGCTCCAAAAGGGAACCCCGGAGCTGGTGAGCTAGCTCCCTGCCCACACCCCAAGGCTCCACCCCTCCAAGCCACCAGCTTCCTGCCAGGAGCCCGGGGCTACTGATGCCTTCACACCAAGCCCTCCCTGGGCCTCAGCTTGCTCATCTCCATGAGGAAAGGTCAGGTGGAGCCCTTTAAGGGCCTTTCCAGCTTGGATCTGTGACCCTCTGATTCTAGAAAGATCCTAGGCAGAACTGCTCTCCCCTAAGCTAGGAGCATAGCACTTGGTGCACTCCCCACAATGCAAGCTTGGGCTAGTCCTGGAGCCTCAGAATCCTTTCCTGGCAGCCTCTGATCTGAGAAGACACACCAGGGGACCGGCAAGGTTGAGTGATGATGGTGACTGTCAAGAAACAATCACTACTCATGCTATCGTCCTTCTGATAAAGGGAGCCTGTGTAGTGTTTGCTCTCAGGCGGGCAGGTCAGGCCCTGCCCAGCTCTGCCCAGCCCTGCTCTCGAGGTCTGAGGCTGGTTGGGAGGTGACCGCATGAATAGCGACTTGGACACCTGTGACCAGAACTCTAAGCCAGCCAATGGTCCTCCACTGTGCGGAGGGCAGGAAGCCGGCCGAGCACACGACAGGCATTCAGTATGCATGCTGATTGATTTCTACCACGTTTTAAGGTGCAACCTCCAGATCTCACATATAGAACAGAATGCAGGTGGGTTACCGATGGCAGTATCAAGGCGGAGTCCCAAAGACACAGGGAGTCCAGCTTGGCCCTGCTCCGACTCCCCTCCTGTTCTTGGCCTGGCCCCCAGCCTCCACTTCTCTGGCTTCATGGCTCCAAGCCCTCCCTCCTTCATGGACTGTAGCCTGGCCCCTGGGGACAGTGGCCTCTCTGGCCCCAGGCCTCCACAGGCACCCCTGGGAGTCCTTCTCCTGCACAGAGCAGCCAGAAGGAGCTTAAATGCACCCATCGCCCCTGCGCTCCCCTGACACTCTGTCACATCCCTAGTTTTATTTTCTTCATGGCACTTCTGACAATCTATAAATATCTTGTGTGAATTTGGTTACTGTCGCCACCCATCCCCACCCCCGCCAGAATGAAGGTCTCGATCACTTGATTCCCAGCTGCAGATCCACGTCCGGAGCCAGTGAGCACGCAGCAGGTGCCTGCGGGCTCCGGGGAGAAACGCCTCCTACTGTCCCTGAGACACTCAGGCCTCCATGTGCTGTGATCACCCAGCTCCTGCCCCATCTGCCTCCCCTGGAAGCCTCTCTGGCCCAGCTCTGCACCAGGCGGTGCCTGGGTGATGGGTGATAGGTGATGTACCACCAGGCACCAGGCCATCACCTTTGGTACACCCAGTCCTGTGATTTGAGGCTCAAAAAGGGAACCCCGGGGCTGGTGAGCTACCTACCCACCCATACCCCAAGGCTCCTGCCCCAGCCACTGGCTGCCCCACTCACCCTCACTGAGGAAGGCATCCCAGACACGCAGCACTGTGGGGAAGGGCAGGGAGCGGGCGAAGAGGCACAGGAACCACTCGGGCAGGTAGAGCAGGGGCCCGACGCCCACCTGCTGCAGGTGCTTGTGTACGTGCGGGAGCAGCCGCCGCAGCAGGGCCATGAACACCTCGGCATCCAGCCGCACAGCCTCCTGTGGCCACGTCCGTCAGCAGGCCAGCACCGCCACCCCCAGAGCTCAGGCTCAACCTCCCTCAGTCCCCAGACCCCCACCCACTCACCGGGCCCCTGCTCCTCCCTCCTCCATTCCCCATGCCAGCCCCTCACCATGTGGGGCCCGTAGTAGCCGGGGAGGTAGACCTCACAGATCTGCACCAGGCACCAGAAGGCCTCCTGGGGAAGGGGCAGGGCACAGGCCTGTAAGTGCCCACCAAGGAAGGGACCGCAGAGGGGAAGTCAGGACAGGGGAAAGGAGTGAAGGGGAGGGCCTGGGCACCACAGGAGCCTGGACTCAGGGCCACTCCTAACCTGCTCAGTTCCTGGGAGCCCTTCCCAAAAGCACCCCCCTCTGCCCAAGACAGGGCCTGCTGAGGGGTTTAGGGTGTTGGAAATCACAGGGCTCATGGTGTTAGATTTGAAGGTCACAGGGTTGGGGTTCACTGGCCAAGGATTGGGAGTGTCCCAAAGTTCAAGTCCTGAGTTTCTGGGGTCATTGGGGTTGGGGTCACAGTCCCCAAGTTCAGAATCAGGAGTCATGAGGTCAAGGTGATAATATCCAGATTCCTAGATGACTGGGGTCAAGGTTGGGATCAAGGGTCCCAGGTTCCTGGAGTCAAGGTCATTAGGCTTGAAGGTCTGTGAGGCTGGCAGTCATGAGGCCCTGGGTCACTAGGACGGGGTCCAGGAATCAAGGATCGCAGGTTTCTGAGGCCGCAGTTCCTGGGGATGGGGTTCCCTGGGCCTAGGTCACTAGGGTTCCCAGAGCGGGGTCAAGGTCACTCACCTCCGGGGGCAGGTGCATGAGCAGCACAGCAGCCACAGGCCCCTGCGCCTGGCAGTAGCCCTGCTCCGGTCGATACAGGGTGTAGGCCTTGAGCACCTGCAGGAGCCCTTGCTGCCTGTGCCGGAAGACCCCATAAGGGGCCAGTCCTGCAGGCACCCCCTTCTCCACCCTCTGGGGGTCTCTGCCCAGGTCTCAGCCTCCCTGGGCCTTGCTGGGTCCCCTGAGATGCAAGACTGTACAGCTGGGCTGGGGAAAGTGGGCTGGAGCACCCAGGGCTTGTGGGGCTGGGGGTCCCTGGGTATCACCGGCCTCGTACCCGTGGCCCTGAGGTGACACAAACATCTCGTGCAGGGGGAACTGGCGGTGCAGGTCCCTGCCAATGGTCTCCATCCACTGTGGGTCTCCAGGGGCCTCTGCCAGCTCCTGTGGGTAGCCAGGAAGGTGGGTGTGAGGGTTTGGTGTGGTGAGGGGCTCTGGGTAGGGGAGTTGGGGCCCCTGCCCACTCCTTCACCTGATAGGTGCCAGGGCTGTTCTTCTGGCACACATGGGCCCCGCACAACAGGGGCCAGCACCGGGCACGCAGGGCAGACGGGATGCCTTTCCGGCACTGCATCTTTACCTGTGGGCAAGGCCAAGGGCTCCACTAGGCAGCCTCCATAGCTCCCACTGGCAGGCCCCAGGCACAACTCATCAGCAGGCAGAGGCCCACTTTGGGTGGCAGGGAGCAAAGGCAGGAGGTGCTGGGACACAGGGTGAGTACATTTTGCCAAGATGTGGGCCAAGGCAGACAGGAATGAGCCACGGAGGCCAACGGGGCCCCTGCCCTGCCCCTCACCTTCTTGTACTGCTGGGGGCCAGTAGTGCCCCTGCCCTGCCCCTCACCTTCTTGTACTGCTGGGGGCCAGTAGTGCCCCTGCCCTGCCCCTCACCTTCTTGTACTGCTGGGGGCCAGTAGTGCCCCTGCCCTGCCCCTCACCTTCTTGTACTGCTGGGGGCCAGTAGTGCCCCTGCCCTGCCCCTCACCTTCTTGTACCGCCGGGACATGGTTTTCTCCCAGTGCAAGGTCATCTCCACCCACTTCATCTCCCGCTGGCGGATGAGGTCTGCAGGCGGGTGGCCCGGCCTGGGAAGGCATGGCACAGGTATCCAGGCGCTGGGCAGCTGTTACCCAGGGCCCACACTGCCACCCTCCAGGCTACCCAGGTGAACCCAGCTCCTGGCCCTAGGGATCTCTGGGAGCCCTGTCGGGTGACCTGTGACCCAGGAGCCACCAATGCTTGTCATGGGGACAGGAAAGGATGTGGCCCCAATGTGGGCAGAAGCAGGAGATTGAAGGGGTGAGTGGGTGTGTGTTGGGGGAGGTGCTGATTGGCTGTCACCCAGGACAGGGACACAATTCATAGGGGAAGCTGGCTGGAGAGAGCCCTGGACTGGAAGCCCGGAGTCCCGAGTTTGAATCTGGGTCTGTGTCTGATCTCCTGTGTGACCTGGGGCAAGTTTCTGTCTATATCTGGACTTGTGTTTCTGTCTGTAGCTTGGGGAAAGGGGGAAGGAGGAGGTATGGGTCTGTGATTCGGATCTGGGATTCCTGAGCCAGAGGTTCAAAGGGGAAGGATGTTCTGCCCCAGTGGTGGGTGCGAACCCTCGGAGGCTGGGGGTAAGAGATGTACAGAGGCCTCCCCGACCCTTCCCACCTTAGTGTTCCACCTGGCGCCTGCGGACGGGTGCTACTGGCTGAGTCCCCCTCCCAATCCCTACCACCAGACCCTCCCGGCCTCCCTCCAGAATTCAGCCCTCAGCCCCCGTCCTCTGTCCCAGCATCCCACCATCCCTCACCCTGCCCCCTTACCCTGGCTCTGCCGAGCTGCCCCCAATGAATCCATAGCGGTCGGCCTGGCGATATGGGCCAGGCCCACTGAGCTCTGAGTCGGACCCCAAAGAGCTGGAGTCATCCTGCAGCTCGGGAGGCTGCACCAGGTCCTCCCCCAGGGCCTGGGCCATGGTGCCCGGGGCCTTCAATGCCACAGGCAGAGAAAGTGGGGAGAACCAGTGTGAGGGGCCACTCCCGGCCAGCCTGGGGCCTGGCTGCGGGGTGAGAGTGGGGAGGTTTCAGGGTATCTCACCAAGCCAACTATGTCTCCTCTTTTATGGGGGCGGGGGCTAGGCCCTGCCCTGACAGAAAAGCCAGGCCTCTGTCCGGAGACCCAGCCCCAGGCCCAGCCTCTGTCTCCACCAGCCCAGCTCACCTCCTGCAGCACCTCACCTCCTCCTCTCACTTCCTCCTCCTCCTCACACAGCTTCAGCAACCGCTGGGGGCCCCTCCCAAGGGTGGGGGGTGTCACCCCTTCCTCTCTGAGGCTCTTCCTGCCTGCCCCAGTGCCCCTGAGCTGTGGGCTCCTCCCACCCTCCCCATGGCCCCAGTGACTGAAGGCTTGAGTTCCTGTGCTGGGTGTGGAGGGCCCAGGCCTCTTAGACACAGAGGCCAGGCCACCTCCAATTCTTTTGTTTGTTTCTTTTGAGACAGAGTCTTGCTCTGTTGCCCAGGCTAGAGTGCAGTGGCACGGTCTCAGCTCACTGCAACCTCCACCTCCCAGATTCAAGTGATTCTCCTGCCTCAGTCTTCCAAGTAGCTGGAACTACAGACATGCACTACCATGCCCGGCTACTTTTTGTATTTTTAGTAGAGACAGGGTTTTGCCACATTGGCCAGGCTGGTCTCAAACTCCTGACCTCAGGTGATCTACCCACCTCTGCCTCCCAAAGTGCTGGGATTACAGGCATGAACCACCGCGCCTGGCCTTTGTGTTTGTTTCTTGAGGGTCATGCTCTGTCACCCAGGCTGGAGTGTAATGGCAGGATCTGGGCTCACTGCAACCCCCACCTCCTGGTCTCAAGAGATCCTCCTGCCTCAGCCTCCTTAGTAGCTGGGACTGCAGGCGTGCACCACCATGCCCAGCTAATTTTTGTATTTTTTTGTTGAGATGAGGTTTCGCCGTGTTGCCCAGGCTGGACGCAAGAGACCATCCCACCTCAGCCTCCCAAAGTGCTGGAATTACAGGCCTAAGCCGCCACAGCAGGCCCACCTCCAGTTCTGAGGTTACTGGCATGTAAAGCACCCAACTCAGGGTTCCAACAAGAATTAAGGTTAATTTATCGTCTGCTCCTTTGAGACAGAGTCTCACACTGTCACCTCGGCTAGGGGGTGCAATGGGCCTTGGCCCACTGCAACCTCCGCCTCCCAGGTTCAAGTGATTCTCCTGCCTCAGCCTCCCCAATAGCTGAGATTACAGGCGGCTGCCATCATGCCCAGCTAACTTTTTGTATTTTTAGAGAGATGGGGTTTCACCATGTTGGCCAGGCTGGTCTTGAACTCCTGACCTCAAACGATCCTCCCACCTCAGCCTCCCAAAGCGCTGGAATTACAGGCGTGAGCCACTGCACCCAGCCATGTCTGCTCATATAGTAATTCTTTTTACGTGCACACCCTGCAATATTACTGTGCTACTCAAAAGCTAATTATGGGGCCAGGCTTGTTGGCTCACGCCTGTAACCCCCCCAGGACTTTGGGAGGTCGAGGCCAGTGGATCACTTGAGGTTAGGAGTTCAAGACCAGCTGGGCCAATATGGCGAAACCCCACCTCTGCTAAACACACAAAAACCAGGCGCAGTGGCGCGCGCCTGCAATCCCAGCTACTCCAGAGGCTGAGGCAGGAGAACCCCTTGAACCTGGGAAGCGAATGTTGCAGTGAGCCAAAGTCGCGCCACTGCACTCCAGCTTAGGCGACAGAGCAAAACTCTGTCTCAAAAAAAATAAATAAATAAAAGCTAATTATGGGACTTGTAAGAAAATATTAATTTATCATGCCCCAAGGACCAAAGTGCGCTGGAAGTTCAGCCGTAGCTGTCTTTGAGTGTGGTCAGCCGCCTGGGGGCCACGGAGACCCACGAAAAAGGGGGTCGTACGTGAATGCGAGGTCCAGGTCTTGCACCAGTCTGTTCATATCTCTTGAGCCTCAGTTTCCTTTCCTGCACTTCGAGCAGTTAACCCTCAGTGCCTAGCAGCCGGTTATTAATATGTTCACAACACCCTCCACCCAGGGCAGGGGTGGGAACGGCTGTTCTGCTTTTGAAAGAGAAAAACAACTTCCACAGTTCTTCCGGCCCCACATCCTCTGAACCGGGCTGGGCGCCTCCTCTGGGGCGTAACCAGTTGGACGCGCCCCCGACAGACCCCGCCCCCAGCCCGCCGCCAAGGCCCCGCCCCCCGGGCCGCGGCGCTTCACGTCCAGCGGGGGCGCTAGAGCGCGGGGGACCGGGCGGGGCGGGCCCGGGAGGCCCGGAGGCGGGGCCGCGGGCCGGGGGCGGACTGGGGCGGGCGGAAGGAGAGCCAGGCCGGAAGGAGGCTGCCGGAGGGCGGGAGGCAGGAGCGGGCCCGGAGCTGCTGGGCTGGAGCGGCGGCGCCGCCATGTCCGATAGCGAGAAGCTCAACCTTGACTCGATCATCGGGCGCCTGCTAGAAGGTTGGTCGCGGCGGGGGAGGCCTGCGTCCGCCGCTCCCGGGCCCCCTGCCGGGCCCGGAAGTGGCGCGCGGGCGGGCCCCCGGGGCCAGCTTAGACTGGGCGGGGACGGGCCGCGAGGTTCGGTGGCCGCAGCCGCCCCCCCGCGGACGCGCCTGAGAGGTCCTGGGCCCGCTCCGACGCGCGGAGCAGCCCCCTCTCCCGGGCCGGGGGCGCACGGGTTGCCTGGGTTCTTGAGGCGAGGGAGAAACCCGGGAAGCCCGGTCCAGGAAGGGGTCCTGCGCTGTGAGGTGTTTGGGTGGCAGCCCCCTGCGCACGACAGTCGCCTCCCGAGGCGCTGAGGGTAGTTGGGGGCTTCCCTTGGGAGGCTTGAGGCCGAGGTCCCGGGAGGCTCAGCAGCAACAGCTGCCTGCGGGCAAGGAGCGGCCGAGGAGGCCTAGGCGCCCCCGGAGGTATCCATGGGGCCACCCGTGTCGCCCACCCTCCACCTGTCAGGGTCCCGGGTCTTGACACCCCATTGCGCCCCCAGTGCAGGGCTCGCGGCCTGGCAAGAATGTACAGCTGACAGAGAACGAGATCCGCGGCCTGTGCCTGAAATCCCGGGAGATTTTCCTGAGCCAGCCCATTCTTCTGGAGCTGGAGGCACCCCTCAAGATCTGCGGTGAGCCCCCCGACCCAGGTCCCCTTGCTTTCCTGAAAGTGGCACTGGCCCCCACAGAGTTCTTGGAGTCCTCCTCCCTTGAGCCCAGTCCTGGTCCTGGGTTCAGGTCTAGACCCTGCATCTAGCTTACCCGATTCCCTGGGTCACAGGTGATATACACGGCCAGTACTATGACCTTCTGCGACTATTTGAGTATGGCGGTTTCCCTCCGGAGAGCAACTACCTCTTTCTGGGGGACTATGTGGACAGGGGCAAGCAGTCCTTGGAGACCATCTGCCTGCTGCTGGCCTATAAGATCAAGTACCCCGAGAACTTCTTCCTGCTCCGTGGGAACCACGAGTGCGCCAGCATCAACCGCATCTACGGTTTCTACGATGAGTGTGAGTGGTCTGAGCGTCTGGGGCTGCCCGGGTCCTGAACCACACTCCTTGTCATTCAGTGGGACCTTCACATTGGCCTGATATCTGACAGACACTTGCTAGACTGTGCACTCCACGAAGGCAGGGCCCAGGTCCGTTCTTGTGCCTGCCCTGCCCCTCCTGGCATGGGGTCTGGGGAATGGTTGCTGACTGAAGGACTGTCCGTATTCTAGTGCTTTCCCCCAGGGCCCTGCCTGGTGACGTTCCCTCTACATTTGCTACTAAGCATTTAGGATGTTTGCAGATGAGCTCTGCTGTCCAGAAGCTGAGATAAACCAGACCTGTACTTGGCCCGGCTCGTGGGCCGGGGCGTGCAAGGAGTGCCAACCCTGAGGCTGGTCCAGATTGGAACTCAGTTTCCAGTGGACTCGGGTGCTTTAGAATTACTTCTGGTGGGAGGCTGAGGCGGGAAGATCACTTGGACTCAGAAGCTCCAAGTTACAGTGAGCTATGATCTTGCCACTGCACTCCAGCCTGGGTGACTGAACAAGACCCTGTTTCTTTACTTTTTTGAGACGGAGTTTCGCTCTTGTTGCCCAGGCTGGAGTGCAGTGGTGTGATCTCAGTTCACTACAACCTCCATCTCCCGGGTTCAAGCGATTCTCCTGCCTCAGCCTCCCGAGTAGCTGGGATTACAGGCATGCGACACCACGCCTGGCTAATTTTTTTGTATTTTAGTAGAGACAGGGTTTCTCCATGTTGGTCAGGCTGGTCTTGAACTTCTGACCTCAGGTGATCTGCCTGCTTCAGCCTCCCAAAGTGCTGGGATTACAGGTGTGAGCCACCATGCCCTGCCCAGATCCTGTTTGTTTAAATTACAAATTAAAATAAAAAGTAACTAGAATTACTCCTGGAAGGCTGACAGGCGGCAGGGGTGGGGGTGGTTTGCATTGGTGCCTGACTCTCTCCCATCTGCGGCTGAATAGCCCAGAGACCCCGGCTAAGGGTGGAGCAGGCAGACCCCTCACAGCTACCTCCCTCTGGGCAGGCAAGAGACGCTACAACATCAAACTGTGGAAAACGTTCACTGACTGCTTCAACTGCCTGCCCATTGCGGCCATAGTGGACGAAAAGATCTTTTGCTGCCACGGAGGTGAGCTCTCCTTAGTTGTCATCTGGGAAGTCACTCCTTTCAGGAAGTGTCTCCCATACCCCCCTGTGCTGGGCTGCACTCACTTCCTTGATGTGCATCCTACATGGGGCGGGCTTGTCTCCTTTCTCCCAGGAGCTCTGTGCTCCGGAGGCCAGGGGCGCCTTTGTGCCTGTTTGGGAACTTGAAAAAGCTGAGGGGAAGGGGATGGCTTCTGCCTGCCTAGGCACCCAGGAGACCAGTGGAGGGACCAGGAGGGTGGTGGAAAAGGTGAGGCTCACTGGCCAAGGCTTCCTGGAGGAAGGATGTCCTTGTTTGAGGAAGTGACCTTCCTTCTGGCCCTCCAGGCCTCTCCCCGGACCTGCAGTCCATGGAGCAGATTCGGCGGATCATGCGGCCCACAGACGTGCCTGACCAGGGCCTGCTGTGTGACCTGCTGTGGTCTGACCCTGACAAGGACGTGCAGGGCTGGGGCGAGAACGACCGTGGCGTCTCTTTTACCTTTGGAGCCGAGGTGGTGGCCAAGTTCCTCCACAAGCATGACTTGGACCTCATCTGCCGAGCACACCAGGTGGGCTGGTGGCTCCCGTCTGTGGCGGGGGAAGGGGAGGGACTTGCCTGCACTTGGGACTGACTGCTCCGATCCTCACCCAGGTGGTAGAAGATGGCTATGAGTTCTTTGCCAAGCGGCAGCTGGTGACACTTTTCTCAGCTCCCAACTACTGTGGCGAGTTTGACAATGCTGGCGCCATGATGAGCGTGGACGAGACCCTCATGTGCTCCTTCCAGGTGAGTATGGGGAAGAAAGGAGCTACTAGGCCCCGTGGCTCAGCCCCATGAGCCTGACCAACCCTGTCTCTTTTAGATCCTCAAGCCCGCCGACAAGAACAAGGGGAAGTACGGGCAGTTCAGTGGCCTGAACCCTGGAGGCCGGCCCATCACCCCACCCCGCAATTCCGCCAAAGCCAAGAAATAGCCCCTACGCCCCGCGCCTGTGCCCCAGATGATGGATGGATTGTACAGAAATCATGCTGCCATGCTGGGGGGGGTCACCCCGGCCCCTCAGGCCCACCTGTCACGGGGAACATGGAGCCTTGGTGTATTTTTCTTTTTTTTTTTTTTTTAATGAATCAATAGCAGCGTCCAATCCCCCAGGGCTGCTTCCTGCCTGCATCAGCGGTGGCTGTGAGCAGGATCCTGGGGCTGAGGCTGCAGCTCAGGGCAACGGCAGACCAGGTCGTGGGTCTCCAGCCGTGCTTGGCCTCAGGGCTGGCAGCCGGATCCTGGGGCAACCCATCTGGTCTCTTGAATAAAGGTCAAAGCTGGATTCTCGCCATGGCCTCCGTCTCGCGTCTAAGACGCTGCCTGGCAGCTCTTCTGCGCAGAGCTACTTGGGAGGCTGGGCACCAGGCCCCAGCAAGGGCAACCCTAGCCACACACGCAGGTCCGAGGCTCTTAGAATTCCAGGTCGGCACCAAAGAGTATCAGGAAAGCAAGAAAAACTGTCAGCTCCACGGGCGTCCCAGATGCATGCCCAGGACTTCAGGAAGGAACAGGTCAGGTCATGATTGGCAGAGAAGCTGGATCATCAGGGGCCGGCAGCACCTGCTGTGATGTTTTCCTTAGGAAGGTGAGCTTGAGGGAGACAGGTTTCCAGCCTTGGCCAGCTGGAGTATAGCCTGAGACTCAATGGGAAATAAGAGGTAGGAACGTCAGTAGTTCAGGGCCAGGTCTGGAAAGTCATGATTGGCTGGGGGTTGTGGGGAGATAACAGGGCCCAGGCCTGACTGCTGCGGGACAGCTTTACAGTGACAGCCAGCTGGGGCCTGCGAGAGGCAGTGAAACAGCTCAGCTCCAGCAAGCCCACCTTTCTGATCCCCAGGGCTGAGACCCAGCTCTTCTACTGGCTGGGGTTTCATCTAGTCCAAGGCCTCTGGGTACAGGCTTCAGGTTCTTGGTTCAGCCTTCGCCCTCACTGTCTTCAGCCAGCACAGGGCTGGGGCCCTGGGGGGAGCGTACAGGGGCCAGGATGGAGCCGAAGAACAGTGAGCGGAACTGCAAAGAGAACAAGTGAGTTCTGGAGGCTGCTGCCTTCCCCACCTCCTGCCCCTGCCTCCACCTCCAGTCCCTACCTTCTTGGGCGGGGGAGTCCCAGGCACTGTACTGGGCTCAGCCTCATCTTCCTCGGAGTGGAGACCAGGGCTCTCGGGGTGCTGGGGGCCAGGTGAAAGGGAAATGGAGGGCAGCACCCGCGAGCCCTCATTGCCTATAGTGGTTTCCATGGCGATCATGTAAGAGTCAATGTCGTCATTGGCAAAGTCGTCTGGGTGGGGTATGCTGCAGGCAGAATCGGAGTATCAGGGAGGAAATGGGGAGCAGAGGCAGGGCCCCACCGTAGAGGGCTCCAAGGGAGCTCCGGGGCCCCCTGACCACTGAAGATCTCTTGGTTTTATGACTTCCTGATTTGGCTGGAGAGGAGAGGATGCAGGGGTTAAGTGGTGGCTTCCTGGAAGGGGTGGGCCAGGAATGTCTGATCAGAATTCAGGTAGGGGCCTGAGGAAGGCATCCTGGCGGCTGCTTTAGCTCAGCTAGGGGAGAGGAACAGCAAGCCCTGTGAACTGGGCCACATGGGGCCCAAGCCCCCGCCTTCCCAGGGGACAGGAGCTGGAGAGCACAGGAGGCCGGGGACAGGCTGGGCTGGGGGCCAGCCCCAGCTTCCTGTGCTGAAAGTGCACTGGGCCATCCTCCCCAGCCCACCTGCTCTTCCAGCCACCTGCTTCCCCCAGCCCAGGCAGCTTCTGCCTCCCAGCAGCCCTTTCCCTCCTTGGCCTGGGAGGAGGCTCAGAGGGGAGGCCTCAGCCAGAGAAGGAAGCCGGCAGGGCCTTGGGGATGCTTCCCTGGGTGGGAGGAGTCTCAGTACAGCTGACCAAGAAGGCTGAGTCTGCAGGGCTGGCAGCTGTGAGCACTGTAGGGGTAGGGACTGGGGCCTGATGGAGAGAGAGGAGGAACAGGAGGGAAGCGGGAGAGAACACATTGCAGGGAGGTGCAGAAGCTAGGAATTGCAGTCTCAGGCTGGAGTGCACAGACATGGGGAGAGGAGGAGTTGGGGGAGGTGCCCTCACCTGTGAGCCTGGAGCTGAGGCACTGGCTGGTGACGCTCTGGGGAGCCCAGGTCCTGGGAGTGCGAGTCGGTGTCTGAGAGTGTGGCCAAGACAAAGTGGCCATCCAGCAAAGAGTCCTTGATGGTGAAGATGGCAGGCCTGGGCAGGGGATGGGGGTCCCAAGCTAGGTCATCCCATTCAGCTCCTGGCATCCCAGAGCCCTTCCCTGTCCCAAGGCTGGGAATTACCTGCCTGGAGCATCAAAATGAATGCTAAGATTCAAGTTTGCTGACTCTGCAAAGCTCAGGAGCCCCTGAGAGGAAAGAGGTAGCAGGTGAGGCCCCGGGTTGGGCTGAGCTGGGCAGGCAGGACAGGACCGGCAAGTGCGTGGGGGGAACCTCACCCGGAATTCCTTGAGGCAGAAAGTGATGGCCACCCCTTCCTGGGCCTGCAGCTGCTGGAAATCCTCCTCTCCAAGGCACATCTCAGTCACCATGGCTTTGGCAGTGCTGTCTGTTGGGGAAGAATAGGAGGAACCTGGGCCCCACCCCTCTCCCACCTGCCGCTCTGCTCTGTCCCAGGTCACGTCCAGCTCCCTCACCTGCCTCCTCCTCATGGTAGCTGCGCAGGATGACCCTGCGGCCACGACCAATGCCCAGCGTCACTTCAGCCAGCGCAGGAGGGAAGGGCAGAACAGCCTCCCCCAAGACCCTGTGAACGGGGCGGAGCATTACCCCCAATGCTTGGCCCTGCCCAGGGCTTTGCTCGCAGAGGACCTGAGGCGGGGGTCACACATGCACACGCATGGATATGCGCAGGCCTAGCACACGGTGGACGAGGCCCAGATAAGGTGGCAGGAAGGGGCTGGTTGCAGTGATTGCTCCAACCTGGCAGGTGGTACCGACCATGCAGAGCAGGGAGAGGGCCCAGAGGCAGGACATGGCACTCATGCCGCCCTACAAACCCGGCCTTCAGAAAGAGCCCTGAAATCCTCATCCTCTAGGGATACCCACTGCTATACAGATGAGATCACATCTGGATTTGCTTCAAGTCAAGTGGGGACGGGAGCTGCCTCTGCTTTTACATATATTTGAAATTATTCATGAGACAGCGCTCGCTTCAGCCGCTAAAACTGCAGCATGCAAAAGATGAGCGAGGCTCCTGCACAAGGATTAAAAAAAAAACAGAGTAGCTGGGTGCAGTGGCTCATGCCTGCAATCCGAGCACTTTGGGAGGCCGAAGCAGTGGATCATTTGAGGTCAGGAGTTCGAGACCAGCTTGGCCAACATGGTGAAACCTCGTCTCTACTAAAAATACAAAAATTATCCAGGCATGGTGGTGCATAACTGTAATCCCAGCTACTCGGGAGGCTGAGGCAGGAGAATTGCTTCAACCTGGGAGGGGGAGATTGCAGTGAGCTGAGATTGCACCACTGCACTCCAGCCTGGGCGACAGAGCAAGACTCCGTCTCAGAACAAACAAAATGAGAGAAACGACTGCTCATTTTTTAAAAAAAAGAGACTGGGGGCCAGGTGTGGTGGCTCATGCCTGTAATTCCAGCACTTTGGGAGGCTGAGGCGGGCGGATCACGAGGTCAGGAGATCAAGACCATCCTGGCTAACATGGTGAAACCCCATCTACTAAAAATACAAAAAATTAGCCAGGCGTGATGGCAGGCGCCTGTACTCCCAGCTACTCGGGAGGCTGAGGCAGGAGAATGGCGTGAACCCGGGAGGCGGAGCTTGCAGTGAGCTGAGATCCCGCCACTGCACTCCAGCCTGGGCGACAGAGCGAGACTCCATCTCACACACACACACACAAAAGGGCGCGGTGGCTCACGCCCATAATCTCAGCACTTTGGGAGGCTGAGGCGGGCAGATCACCTGAGGTTGGGAATTCAAGACCAGCCTGACCAACAAAGAGAAACCCTGTCTCTACTAAAAATACAAAAAATTAGCCAGGCATGGTGGCGCATGCCTACAATCCCAGCTACTTGGTAGGCTGAGGCAGGAGAATCACTTGAATCGGGAGGCGGAGGTTGTGGTGAGCCTAGATCGTGCCACTGCCTGGGCAACAAGAGCGAAACTCCATCTCAAAAAAAAACCAACCAAAAAACCCTAAATGCAGCCCAAGGAATTGGCCCCCCTCTCTACCCAAAAGAGCTCTGAGCAGTGCTGGCTCAAGAGAACCTAGGGAAACAGATGTCAGGACCCAAAGGGACATTCAGTCACCCTGAGAAATAAGCAGGACCTTGGGCCACTTGAATACAAGCAGTGTCCAGCGTGGGACAGGGACAGGGGGAGAGCCCACTCCTCTCTGAACTGGTCCTTGCCAGGGACCTTTGCTTCCACTGGAGTCCCTGTTTCCCTGGCCCCAGACAGCCCCCAGTGCTCGGACTGCCCAGAATGGCTCCACCCACAGCTGATTACTCAGGCAGCCCTCCTGAACCACAACCTCCCCTCCAGCCTCCTGCCCTGGCCTTGGGGACTCCTTGATCCTGGGCAGTCAGGAAAAGAGGCTGCCCTTGAGTGGGGAGCACCTCTGGAAGGATGCCCAGGCCGGAGAAGGGGTGTGAGCCTCTGAGCCACAGGTTAAGGGAAGACCTTCAAGGTTACTCAAGCCAGACAAGAGATTTGGTGGCAGGCCAGAAATCTGCTTCCTAGAGGAGGAATTGGAATGGGTCTGAGCAGCCAGAAAGTCAAGTCAGACCTTTGGGATGGAGAACGAAGGCTCCTAACAGTGAGGAGAATGGAGCAAGGAGGCGCCTGCCCCTCCTCCATGCCACCGTCTGCCTTTAAAGAGCCAGGTAAGGACCTGAGCACATAGCGGGCCATGGGATGTCTTTGAGGTTCACAGAAACTCTGTAGGGAAATGAAGGACATACCTTCTTAAATCAACCCTTGAGGCCCCAAAGAAGGAAGAGAGAGACCTGGAGCTGAGCTGAGGGCAGGGGTGTGCTCACCGTGCTGGGGCGCGGAGCATGTGGGGGCACGAGGCTGGGTCGAAGACGGCCTGCAGGGACTCACAGTCCTGGAAGGACAGGTTGTGAGTCTTCCGCACCCCTGGATGGGCGATAGGGTCTCAGTGGGCCTCGCCGACCTCCCTGCTGAGGCACCCCTTGGCTGTCCGGCTGCCCACTCACCGAACTTGCAGTGCAGCTGGACCACCAGGCGGCTGCTCCGGCCGTTCAGGGAGATGCAGCATTTTTCCACCGTCTTCTCCAGCATCGCCAGTGAGCGGAAGACAGACAGGAAGGACTAAATGGGATAAGACACCTCAGCCTAGCACCGCATCTCTGCAACAAGCTCTCCTGTCCCGTGTAGGCCCACACCAATCATGGGCCCAGCATGTAACTCTGGGAAAAGGGCTCCCACATCACACGGGACACTGGCATCCTTCTAGGCCTCATTCATGCTCTTCCTTATGCTTGCAATGCCTTGAAAGACCTGCTTACCTTTCTCTTTTTTTTTTTATTTGAGATGGAGTCTCGCTCTGTCACCCAGGCTGGAGTGCAGTGGTGCGATCTTGGCTCACTGCAACCTCCGCCTCCCGGGTTCAAGCAATTCTCCTGCCTCAGCCTCCCAAGTAACTGGGATTATAGGCGCCCACCACCACACCCGGCTAATTTTTGTATTTTTAGTAGAGACGGGGTTTCACCATGTTGGCCAGGGTAGTCTTGAACTCCTGACCTCATGATCTGCCCACCTCAGCCTCCCAAAGTGCTGGGATTACAGGTGTGAGCCACCGCACCCGGCCAAAAGACCTGCTTACCTTTCTTGACGAACTTGAGCCTCACCACCCTCTCAGGTCCCCGCTGTGATGCTTTTACCAAGGCCCTCCCTGTGTTTTGCATGGATTGGACTTGCACGTGTCTCTCTCCCCACTTAGCATCTACTGAGTACCCCAGGGCAGAGGCACAGCTAGTGGAGATTCCTGGGGTGGGGCAGTGCCACTGCTGAGGGAAGGGCCTCACCTTCATCAGGATCTTACAGCGCAGCAGGTCCTGACCAGGGGTGGCTGCCTGGTATTGCTGGAAGAAGAGCGGAGCAAAGAGAAAGCAGGCATAGGCAGAGCGGGAGGAGTTCACCGTCCGGAGGGAGAGCTGGGCCACGAAGAGCAGGGAGAGGGACGTGGTCAGGGGGCAGCCACAGACCCAGCCCTCCGGCTGCTTCTGCTCACACACTTGCTCTATCGTCCTCCCGCTCTGCCACCACCTGCTGAAACCCTCCTTCCACATGAAGCCTTCAGAGTCGGCCTCGGCGCTGCTGCCGCAGAGGAGCGGTCGCACACCCAGGCCTACCCCGAGTTTCTCTAAGGGCACGTTACCCCCTGGGAGCTCACAGGAGGCCAGCTTGCAATTCACACACCGGCCTGGGAAGATGACAGGCGCTAGGCTGAGAAACTGAAACTCTGCCGACAAATCTGCCAGCGGTCATCCCGCCTAGTGGGGGCGAGACTCGAGTCCGGGTTACCCGCTCCCGGCTGGAGTCCCACCCGCCCCCCCACACCCCAGCCCCTCACCCCGTCCTCCAAGGGTTCCAGGTAGAGCTCGTCCCCGATGCGGGACAGGGAGTGGACGGCCTTGCCGAGCACTGCGGGGAGGAGAGCGGAAGGGGGTTAGGCTGGCGGCTCCGCGGCTCCTGCACCGCCGCTGCCAGGCCGACCCGCACTCACCCTTCACGTTGCCGCCCGTGACCAGGCACTTCATGCTGCCCCAGCGCCCAGCCAGCGGCCAGCACTACCCCACACTCCGCGACCTCAGAGGCCGGGGTCCTTCCCGCGCACCGCCCCTGCCAGCCCCTCCCCCGCCTCCCCATTGGTCCACACGCAGGCGCCTCCGTCACGTGAGAAAAACGTTCACAGGCTCCGCCGTCACGTGACGGCGCACGTTGCCCCGGGTGTCACGTGACCCGGGAGGCCCGCGGCGCCCGTCAGCTGCTCCTGGCTCTCCAGGCACGCCTTGGCCTTCCGCGCCCTTGGAGATCGGGGCGTCCCGCGGGCCGCGCATCGGATCGCGAAGGGCAGAGAGGACGCAGCTCTGGGGCGCGAGGTTCCTGTGCAGTGGACCGAGCGCTAGACTCGGAGTCCGAATGTGGGTGCGAGCTCTCTGGGGTCACCCACTGAGTAGAGTTCCCGGGCGTCTGTCGGAGGATACACGGTGCAAGCAAGACCATCGCACCCACTCTGGGCCGGAGACTCGAACTCCAGCAGCAATCCCCAACTCTAGAAAGAGGTCAAAGCAGCTTGCTTGCAGCAGCTGGGAGTGGGAGGTGGCTGCTCCTTCTGGCTTCGAGGATCCTTGAAGGAAAAACGGCAGCTTCTCCAGGCAGAAAGGGGTAGAACGGTGCTCCTGGCAGAGGGAGGAACAAGAGTAAATGCTCAGCGGTGTGGGCTCCGCCCCCTGGAGAGGGGAGTAGGTCTGTGAGTCTCAGAGAGGCTTAGGGGCCGCCAGATGATGAGGGGCACCGCTGGGACGCTCTAGAAATGTTTTACGAGGGTAGATCGTGGTTATGTGCCTTTTTTTTTTTTTTTTTTTTTTCCCCGAGACATATTCTTGCTCTGTCACCCAGGCTGGAGTGCAGTGGCGCGAACACGGCTCACTGTCGCCTGGAACTCCTGGGCTCAAGGTATCCTCCCACCTCAGTCTCCTGAGTATCTGGGACCACAGGCACACCCACCACGCCCGGCTTTTTTTTTTTTTTTTTTGTAGAGACGGAGTCTTGCCATGTTGCTCAGGCCCGTCTCAACTCTAGGGTTCAAGATATCTTTCCGCCTTGGCCTCTCAAAGTGGCGTGAGCCGCTGCATCCGGCCTGGTTTTTTTTGGGTTTTTTTTTTTTTTTTTGGTCTTTTTTTGTGTGGGGGGTTTTTTTGTTTGTTTTGAGATAGAGTCTCGTTCTGTCGCCCAGGCTGGAGTACAGTGGCACGATCACGCCTCCCAGGTTCAAGCGATTCTCTTGCCTCAGCCTCCCAAGTAGCTGGGATTACAGGCGCCTGCCACAAGGCCTAGCTAATTTGTGTACTTTTAGTAGAGACGGGTTTCGCCATGTTGGCCAGGCTGGTCTTGAACTCCTGACCTCAAGTGATCTGCCCGCCTTGGCCTCCCAAAGTGCTGGGATTACAGGCATGGGCCACCACGCCCAGCCCGGGCCTGTGTTTTTAAAAGACCTCAGACTGGCCGGGCGTGGTGGCTTATGCCTATAATCCTACCACTTTGGGAGGCTGAGGCGGGCGGATCACCAGGTCAAGAGATCCAGACCATTCTGGCCAACATTGTGAAACCCCTTCTCTACTAAAAGTACAAAAATTAGCCGGGCGTGTTGGCGAGCATCTGTAGTCCCAGCTACTCTGGAGGCTGAGGCAGGAGAATTGCTTGAACCCGGGAGGTGGAGGTTGCAGTAAGCCGAGATCGTGCCACTGCACTCCAGCCTGGCGACAGAGCGAGACTCCATCTCAAAAAAAAAAAAAACCAGACTGTGTGCCAGGTGGGGATGCATCAGCTGGAAGGTCTTCCCCTTCTCCTGGGCCTCCAGGTCCAGGTGAGTAAAATGTAAGGGAGTCCTAGAGAAACTCACTGACCCCTATTCTCCCCACAGTACCAAGGCTCTGGTGGTTCTTTGAAGGGCCCAGGGCATCCCTGTGTTCCCGTAGGGCCTGTCTGTGCCTTGCCCCTCAGATCCTGTGGTAGTGGAGAAGATTTATTTGTCTCTGCACCCCTTGCTCTCCAGACCCACTTTCAAATGAGTTGAATTGATACATAATAATTGTACACATAGAGAGAGTACAGCTGACATTTGGATACATGCATACACTTTGTTTCTCCCTCTCTTTCCGCTCCCCTGGTCTCCAGCCCTGGCCCTTTCCGTGGAGTCCTGGGGGAGGAGGTAACTCTTCCCTTCCCCTTCCCAGGGGATCCATAGAAATAGTGCCCCCTGTCCCTGGGCATCCGGCTCAGTATGCTGGGAGTCATCCTTGACCTCATGCTCGCCCTCACCCCTACACAATCTTTCAGTTAAGTCCTGACCACTCTGCCTCCCAAACAGGTGGTAACTTAACAGGTGGCAGCTTTGCCCTCCTCTTCCATCTCCAGGGCCTAGGTCACCATCCTCTCACCTGGATGACTGTAACAGCTCTCAATGGTCTCCTGCCTCCACCCTGCCCCCACCAGGCCACTCTCCATACAGCAGCAAAGTGACCCTCCTAAAATGTCCATTGTGTCATGCCTCTCCTGTGTTTGCACACTCCAAGTGGTTGCCATAAAATCCAAACTCTGCCCTGAACCTGCAGGAGCCGTCCCTACCCATTTCTGCACCTGTTGCCTCCCCTTGATCACCTGCACAGCCATGCCAACCGTGTGGGCTCCCTGAACCCCCCACTTCCTCTTCCACCTGGGGATCTTAGCACATCCTTAGCTGTCCCCACCACTTGGCATCATCTTACCCCTTCTAATGTGGTGGTGCTTCTCTTCCTCCGGGCTCAGTGAGGCCTTTTCTGTCCCCACCAGCACCCCAGTACGCTCTAGCTAGGCCCTGTTTTAGCCACAGCACTTATCACATTATTTCGTACCTGTGTTTTCCTATTTAACATGTGTCCTCCTCACTAGTGTGTCTGCCTCATAAGGGCAGGAACTATATCTAGTTTTGTTTTTTGTTTTTTTTTTCCTGAAGACAGAGTCTCGCTCTGTCACCCAGGCTGGAGTGCAGTGGCGCGATCTTGGCTCACTGTAATCTCCGCCTCTGGGGTTCAAGCAATTATTGTGCCTCAGCCTCCCGAGTACCTGGGAATACAGGCGTGCGCCACCACGCCTGGCTAATTTTTGTATTTTTATTAGAGATGGGGTTTAGCCATGTTGGCCAGGCTGGTCTCAAACTCCTGACCTTAACTGATCTGCCCGTCTCAGCCTTCCAAAGTGCTGGGATTACAGGCGTGAGCCACTGCACCCGGCCTTGGCTTTGTTTTGTTTTGTTCTGTTTTGTTTTGTTTGTTAAGATGGGGTCTTGCTTTGTCACCCAGGCTGGAGTGCAGTGGCACGATCATGGTTCACGGCAGCCTCAACTTCCCAGGCTCAAGCGATCCTTCCACCTCAACCTCCCGAGTAGCTCAGGGCTACCGGCGCGTGCCACTACAGCCAGCTAATTTTTTTTTTTTTTGTATTTTTGTTAGAGACAAGGTCTCCTTCTGTTGCCCGGGCTGGTCTTGAACTCCTGGGCTCAGGCAGTCCTCCTTCTTTAGCCTCCCAAAGTGCTGGGATTATAGGCGTGAGCCACCGTGCCCAGCATCCATATCTGTTTTGTTTGTTGCTGTATGTACCTCACACAGGGTCTGGCACTCAGTAAATGAATAAATAGATGTTACATTTTAAAATGTGTAAACCAGCTGGGTGCAGCAGCACATACCTTTAATCCCAGCACTTTGGGAGGCGGAGGTGGGTGGATCACTTGAGCCCAGGAGGTAGAGGTTGCAGTGAGCCAAGATAGCGCCTGGGTAAGAGAGCCAGACCCTTTCTCAAAAAAAAAAAAAAAAAAAAAAAAAAAAAAAAAGGCCAAGTGCGATGGCTCATGCCTGTAATCCTAGCACTTTGGAAGGCCGGGGCAGGTAGATCACCTGAGACCAGGAGTTCAAGACCAGCTTGGCTGACATGGTGAAACCCCATCTCTACTAATAACACAAAAATTAGCCAGGCATGGTGGCACGTGCCTGTAGTCCCAGCTACTCAGGAGGCTGAGGCAGGAGAATCGCTAGAACCCAGGAGGTGGAGTTTGCAGTGAGCCAAGATCACACCACTGCACTCCAGCCTGGGCGACAGAGTGAGGCTGCGTCTCAAAAAATGAATGAGTGAATATCTATAAACCGTTCCTGTTGACAAAGGGCATGGAAAAATAAACAAACAAACAAATAAATTAGCATGAGCCAAGTGCAGCTGAGCTGTCTCTAAGTCACTCTTAGCACAGTGCTGAAAGAAACACTCAACTTCTAGCACTCCACCCACAGTCCCATCTCTCCCTGCTTGATAGTTGTCCCCATGTTTCAGCCTCATCCTGTGCTCTGGACCCCTCCCCCACCACGTGTAAACCAGCACAGCCTTCCCACCTCTGCCTCGTACTCATTACCTGAGCAGCCGCCTGGAACAAGGGTAGATGCTGAAGCTCCCTGAAGGCAAGGAAATGGGAGGCTGTGAATCTTCACATAGTCCTGTTTCTGCCCCTGACACCTGTAGAGTTATGGAGTCCTATGGCCTTGAGGACCCTAGGCAGAAGAGAAGGGAGACATATGCTTTTTTTCATACGTTTTACATCTGTCTTCTCCACTGGTCTGTCCACCTCACAAGGGCAGGAACCATGTCGGCCCTTTGTATCAGCCAGGGGCAGGTGTGAGCCACTGCCCCCGGTCGACATACAGTCTTTCGACTCATATTGAGCATTTTTCAGTTACCCTCCCACTCCCTTGCCAAAAGTCAGAACTCGGAACTTTCTGAAAGGCTTAGAAGAGAAAGAAGGCTAGAGTGGGAAGCCAGGAGCCGTGGTAGGATGTGTTCCTGTCCCGCTGTGTGATTTGTGCAAATCCCTCCCTGTCTCGGCTGCTTCCTCATCTGTATGATGTGTTGGTGGGGGCTGGGGAGAGTAGGAGGTACTCACTGAGGTCCCTTCTAACCTTGACATGCTGTGATCCTGAAGGGGCCCCGTGACTCCCCTACGCCTCTCATCCATCCCAGCTTGGGGGAGAAGCTATAATTGGCTGTCGCACCTCCCCCGACCCTCTGGCCCCTGGAAGGTAGCTTTCCAATCTGAGGCCAGGAATCCCTTCCAGGCCTACATTTGGCATATCCAGTAACCCACTTCAGGTGCAGAAGAGGGGGCACACAGCGGGATAAGGAGCTGGGAGCAACCAGGAACCAGGAACCCTGTGTGTGGGTGAGAGATAGGTATGAGGACCTGGGGTCTGTGCTCAAAGTCAGGGACCTGGATGCAGCTTCAGCCCCACTCAGATGGCATCAGGCCCTTGTCTGAGCCTCAGTTTTTTCCTGAATAAAATGAGGGCCATTCAATGAGATGCTCTCTCAGGAGCTTTCTCCCTTCCTTCCTTCCTTCCTTCCTTCCTTCCTTCCTTCCTTCCTTCCTTCCTTCCTTCCTCCTCCTTCCTCCCTTCCTCCCTCCCTCCCTCCTTCCCTCCCTCCCTCCCTCCCTCCTTTCTTCGTTCCTTTCTTTCTTTCTTTTTTTTTTTGTGACAGGGCCTTATTCTGTCACCCGGGGTGGAGTGCAGTGGCATGATCCTGGCTCACTGCAGCCCTGCAGCCTCAACCTCCTGGGCTCAGTGATCCTCCTACCTCAGCCTCCCGAGTAGCTGGGACTACAGGTGTATGCCACCATGCCCAGCTAATTTTTTAGTCAGAATTCTTTCAAACCCCAGATTTTTAGTTGGGCATGCTGGCTCATACCTGTAATCTCAGCATTTTGGGAGGCTGAGGAGGGAGGATTGCTTGAACCCAGGAGTTAGAGATGAGCCTGGGCAATGTAGTGAGACCCTGTCACTATAATGAAGAAAATAAAATAATTTTTAAAAACACCAAATTTTTGGTCTTTGGCATACCCCATTAGAGGTGGCCTCCTATAAGCAGGTGGGCATGTAAGTGTGTGCGAATGTGTGGGGGCAGATATGGAATAGAAGCTTGAGACCCTGGTGCTCATTCATTCACTCAACATATATTCATTCAACACATCCTGGATGCACTTTTTTAACTATAGGAAAGAGAGTACAGGACAAAAATGCTGGCCAGATGCGGTAGCTCACACTTATAATCCCAGCACTTTTGAGACACCAGTGTGGGCAGATCGGTTGAGTCCAGGAGTTCAAGACCAGCCTAGGCAACAAGGTTTCTACCAAAAATATAAAAATTAGCCAGGCATGGTGGCATATGCCTGCAATCCCAGCTATTCAGGAGGCTGAGGTGGGAGGATCCCTTGAACCTGGGAGGCAGAGGTTGCAGTGAGCTGCGATCGTACCACTGCACTCCAGCCTGGGCACAGAGTAAAACCCTATAGTATGCAAGAAGGTGGTGGGTGTTATGGAAAAAAAGAAAACCCAGAGAGGGAGAGAGGAGTGTCAGGGGAGAAGGGCTTCGATTCTAACTAGCATGGACAGGTTGGCCTCACTGAGAAGTCGCCATTTGAACAAAGACCTGCAGGAGGCAAGGAAGTGAACAGTGCAGACGTCTGGGAAGGAGCGCTGTGGTAGAGGGAAGGGTCAGTGCCAAGGCTCTGAGCAGAAGTATGGGTGGCTGGAGGAGCTGCACCTTCTGCAGAGTCCAGTCTCCTGAGCTGGGGAGGACTGGGGTCTAGTGGGGGAAGACTGAGATTAGCCAAAGAATCATCAAAGTAAATATGAAATTACACCTTTGAGAAGCATCAGGAATGATGATGACGTGGGCTATGTGAATATATCCCTGGGAAGACCTGGTCAGGGCATGAGGGAGAGCTTCCTGGAGGAAGAAACAGTCTGAGAGGGGTGAGGTTAGAGCATGGGTTGGCCAGGAAAGCACAGTTACTGAGGAGCCATTGGTGGGGCTCATTTACCAGGCACTGCTCCGTCCCACCATGGGATGCCCCATGCAGCCCTCCTTACAGACACAGGAGCACAGACGGGATTACTCATGGCTGGCATTTTGCCAGATCGGGGTAACTAAAAGTCAGAAGGGGCAGAGGAATTTCGGGTTTGGGAGTTTACTCGGGCTTGTCTTCATCTCATCATGCACACACAGGGACTGGCATTTGTATGGTTACTGGGGGGTAACCAGGCAGGCAAGGCAGCTCTGAGCTGTGGGGACACTGAGCTGGCAGGGCACCTGCCCTGCTTGTAATGAGTTTGTGGCATTCCAAGTGCTGCCAGCCCCCCAGTCAAGCTCTGCTCCTGCCTTTCTTGTTCCCTGGCATTTCTCCTGGAAATCAGAATGATGTTTGGCACACAGCAGTGGTGTAATAAGTCTGTTCTGAATGGCTGAAGATTACGGAATTCAGAGAGGTTTCAGGACTTGAACCCATGATTGTCTGTTGAGGCTGAGAATGCAGTTGTGGATGCCAGCCTGAGTAGGTCTGAATCCAGCCTAGCCGCAATCTCTATCACTTAAAAACAAGTTGTGCAAACATGGACAAGTTGCTTATGTTCTCCAAGCCTGCTTCCACCTCAAAGGGCTGTTGTGAGGAGTAACTTAATGTTTATGCAGCTCTTAGAATCTGCCGTGAGCACTGCTGTGACTATGATTGCTACATCCTGCCCCTCCAGCTCGGGTCATCCTCACAGTATCCTTGGGCCAGGACTGGAGACAAAACAAACCATCAGCTTGGACAAAGCCAGGGTGAATCTACACAAGGAACCCAGGAGGAAAGTCTCCCTAGGAAATCTTACAGAGAAAAGGCCTGGTGTCCAGAAACTGGAAAATATTCAGAAGACTCTTGGCTGGGCATGGTGGCTCACACCTGTAATCCCAGCACATTGGGAGGCCAAGGTAGGTGGATCGCTTGAGGTCAGGAGTTGAAGAACAGCCTGGCCAACATGGCAAAACCCTGTCTCTACTAAAAAAAATACAAAAATTAGCCGGGCGTGGTGGCACACACCTGTAATTCCAGCTACTCAGGAGGCTGAAGCAGGAGAATCACTTTAACCCGGGAGATGGAGACTGCAGTGAGCAGAGATCTCACCACTGCACTCCCCAGCCTGGGCAACAGGGCAAGATTCCATCTAAAAAAAAAAAAAAAGCCGGGCGCGGTGGCTCAAGCCTGTAATCCCAGCACTTTGGGAGGCCGAGGCGGGTGGATCACGAGGTCAGGAGATCGAGACCATCCTGGCTAACATGGTGAAACCCCGTCTCTACTAAAAATACAAAAAACTAGCCGGGCGTGGTGGCGGGCGCCTGTAGTCCCAGCTACTCGGAGGCTGAGGCAGGAGAATGGCGTGAACCTGGGAGGCGGAGCTTGCAGTGAGCCGAGATCGCGCCACTGCACTCCAGCCTGGGTGACACAGCGCGAGACTCCGTCTCAAAAAAAAAAAAAAAAAAAAAAAAGACTCTTGGTTATGATCAGAAGAGTCAGCCCATTGGGAAGAGGCTCCGGAGAGAGGCTGCTGGTACTGCTGCTGCCTCCAGCAGCACCAAGTGCTGGCCCCATGATTCTGGGCCCTCCGGCGCCTCTGCCTCGAGAGGAGAATATGAGACTTTGCCTTCCTCCCAAGCTGCTAGAGCCTGGCATGAGATAATGGATGTGCCCACACTACCAGGCACTGTGCACAGATGAGGGACCAGGTCTTTTGAGTCTGCAGGGCTGGAGGTGGAGGGGAGATGGGATGAATTTTTTTAAACCCACAGTGAGGATGGGAAGGGAGAAGTTCAGGCGTGTTCACCAAAACCTGGCACACTGGAATTACAGGCCCCCTTGGAGCGCAAGTGAGGTAAGTTTAGGACAAATCAAAGGCAGTGTGCTTCACCCAGCAGGGGAGGACACTGATGGAACTCATTACCCCAAGATGTCGTCTCAGCTGGAAATAGAAACAGCTTCACAAAAGATTTAGATACAACCATGGATGATGGCTCCATTCATGGGTTAGAAGGGGAAGGAGGCTCTTTGAGGCCTGTCCCCCAGGGCAGGCATCAGGGAGGTGGCTTGGTCTCCCTAGCACCCCCCTTTGCACTCCTGTTGGAGGCAGGCTTCTGGCAACACGGACCCCAAGAGGCAATGTGGAGTCCCATAAGTTAGAGCCTGGCCTGTGTCCCTGGCCTTTCCTCAACCTCTCCAACACTCAGAATCCACTGTTTGGGAGAGAAAAGGCGCCACCAGCTTCAGGGAAAGCATCCTGGCTGGGCTGTCCCCTAAGAGACCAGCAGAGGGAGACAGACACCATGTCCAGTGCCAGCTCCGGGAACAGAAACCTTGATGATCCACCTGGGGCAGGCCTCTGTGGAGGCAGTTTTGTGCTCATGTTTTGCTGGGTGGGACAGAAGGGGACAGAGAGGGCATACTCCCAGGCTGAGACAGGCCTATTACAGGGGAGATAGGGGCAGGGAGGAGATTTTTGGGAACTAGGGGCAAGGTGGGGAGGGAGCTACTAATTAAGAACCGGGTACTCCAGAGCCAGGCTGCCTGCCTGTGTGCTTTGGACAAGTTATATAACTCTGTGCCTCAGTTTACCCATGGTAAAATGGCAACTACAACAGCACCAGCCTCAGGAGGGCCACGTGAGATTGCGTGCCATATTCAAAT